TAGATGATGTCTCATGGACAAAAGCCTGCAAAGGGCCTTTGCCATGACTCTTCCATATTTCTTCACTCTCAATCAGATGGTGGGAGAATATTTGTTCTTGGGGTGCCCCCGATGTAGAATTGCCAAGAATAACTGTTGCCTGTCCTGAAATGGCAGCTGCAGCCCTGTGGAAACAGCCGCGGCGGGTTCCTTTCTGAAGTGACAGCAGGTCGTACCGACATCAAAGAGGACGTGAGGTTTTCAGTGAGCGCTGTTTGTTGATTTTTTCCCCAGTGAAGTGATATTACATGGCATTTCCAACCCTCAATCCTATTAAGTGACAGAACTACCTAATAGCACTCATTAAATAACATAACTTGGTGTCAGAAATTCACTGACGGGCTCATGCGGTTGAAGGAGTGGACTTCTGCCCTACAACAACATGGGTTTGGTGGTATTGTTACTGAGGTTTTTTAATAAATGCCATTTATTTGAACAGGTGGAAGCAGAAGAGCCAGGACAGTTCATGAAAAGGGTATCGCCAACATAACAGTAAAAAAGTGGGTGCCTGAATTTTACATTTAGAAAGAAGAAAGCATTAAAAACATGTTCGTTGCTACGCTTTCACGGAGACCATTGCTTTGGCGACACCAGCCTACACTGCAGTGTTGTCACAAGGTTATGTTACAACAGTATTCAGGAACTTTCCATCTTTCTGTCCAAGGAGCTAATGTATAAATGAAGATATTAATTCTTTTTTAATCATTTTTTAAAGATATCTGTTGCTTATGGGCCCAAAGCAAACAGAGATAATAAAAACATAAAGGTCTTAAACACCATCACCGTCCCTTGCTCTCAGTCAACTATTAGCTGCACATTTTAAACCTTTAACCCAATGTATTTCTCTTGCAAAGTGAATGACAAAGTTTGTCAGTGTTCACAGAAATAAGCTTATCAATGATGTCTTGCTTCTTTCTTTCTACAGCTCTCATCCTCCTGAAGCCCAAATTGTTTTCTACCAACTGACATACAAGTAGTAACTGCAGTTTTCCTGAGGTAGAGATCTGGCATCAGAATGCAAAGGGAACAGGCAACTGCCTGCCCGAAATCCACCTTTCCTCTCAATAGACAAAGCTAGAATCCAGAAAACAGACATCAGAAAAGATGTTAGGGGGCTCCTGATTCAGATTTAATTTCAGAATTGTTATATACAAGCAGAAAGTATTAGAAACCAGAATTTCTGTAGAACATCTGTGAAAGTAAACTCTACTCCTCCCTTACAAGAGAAGCCTATTTTGCAAGCTGCCATACTCAAAACCAAAGCAGAAAACATTCACACTACACAGTGAGCAATGAAGTTTTACTGGTAAGGAGGTCATGACAGATCCCACTGGAATTGAGTGCTCATGTGAGCAACTGCTCACCAAAATGAAAAGTAATTCGCAACCTGAGCTAAAGGTGTGTAGCTTGCACAGACAAATCCTCCCAAGGTCTGTCCCTCCACACTGAAAAGTCATGGTTTTCATTATGTCTCTACCTGCCCTTTCTTACCAGCCATGCAGCAAAAACCTCTCAGGGTTATCCTACCACCTTACATTACAAGAGCCATTCCACCTCTGGAAAGACAGGGCATCATGGGGCTGTTTTCAGTATTGATCAAGTTGTCATCTTCCCAACGCTGTGGGTCATTTTTCATTTTTAGCCACTGGAGGACGGTCAAGCTCATCGGCAATGGTTTAGAAAAATCCTCTCTTGTATTCTTACAGCTACAGAAAGAAGCATTATCATCACCAGCAAATGCAGAGGCAGAGTGGATCACTTCAGTGGCAGAGCCCATTGGAAAGCACAGGGAACCTTCCCTTTTCATGGGATCATAAAGTAATTTAGGTGTAAAGGGACCTCTGGAGGTCATCATGTCCAGTGACAGTGAATCACTGTCTTGGCTTTGCAATGTCACTGAAGTGAGCAGGCAAAGCAGCCAGCAGCCTTCTGGCTCTGTCACCAAAACCCCAGCTCCCACAATTTTCTAATGATATTTTTAATGGAACATGAATGCTGTTGCAAAAATGACTTCTTTTTGTACCCTAGAGGATTAAAACCAAACATTCTTCCTGGAAATAACAATTACCAGTTAAATCCCTGACTGTAACACTAGGTAAAGGCAGAATGCTCTAAGGAATAACAAAACAATGTGTATTTCTGCAGCAGGAAGAGTTTGGAGATGCTTGTTTACCATACAGCTTGTTCCTACTTGACAGATTCCTAAAGAACCCATATCAAGAGCTCTGATTATAAATAGAGTCAGACAGCATGAAACAGTGTTTCTAACCTGTTCATAAATGGTTTAAAGGAAATTAGAAGTACATCCAAAAAACAAAACCAAGTTTACAGTAAAAGCGCAGAGAGCTAAATTCATCCTGCCAGTAAGCAATGTGTTCTATGGAACTGAGCTGAGTACATCTGCCATCATTTTACCTGGAAAAATCAGAGTGGGGAAAGGAGGAAAGATTTGTAGTTTGCCCTTTGTTTTTGCAAAAGCAAAACAAAACTAAAAAGCCCATGTACCATATTCACCTATTGTACATATGGATAAGTAGTTGAAGTAACACATACAATGATTTCACAATGTGCTTTTAAAAGATTCATTAATGGCTTTGGAAATATGGGAAAGTAATTTATAACAGCACATAAAAAGTAATAGAAGGCCCAATCCTGTCACCACTAACTCAGACTGGGCAGAGCTGAGCTCTCAGGACCTTCTGATGGATTTAGAACATTTTTCAACAGCCTAGTGCAGATATTAGCAAGCCCCAGCCTGGCTGGCTCCCACCATATCCCCACTTGCTAAATCACTCCCTTTTCCTCTTCCCTCCTCCCTCCTTTATTATAATTTAAAACAAAAATATTTTCATGTATTGAGCATTTGTGTATTTGGAATCAGTGCCTGCCTTTTCTCCATCCTGACAACTCTGAGCACTACTGGCCATTAACAGCCTGCAAGTCAAGAGATGCAGACCAGCCAGATACACCAGGCCAGAGCAGCCCACCCTCGACAGCACCCCTGAAACCACCAGTTCTGTGAACTTCTGATTTTCTTTCTGATGAAAACCAAGGTCTCCTACACAATCAGAGGGTAACTGTTGATATGCAAAGGGAGTTGAGTTTCCAGAGCCCTTTATGGTCTGAAGGAAATGTTTTCCCTCTGTCAACACGGTAAGCAAAATTACGAGGATGAACGTATGGATTGAGAGGTTGTGTGAGGGGATTGGCTGAAATTCAGGAGTCCTCTAGGCTGCCTCCTTTGAAGCCAACTTTCCCTTCATCACCAAAGTATTAAACTCTGCAAGTCAGCCCAAATGAACCACAGCCTCTGAAAGATCTAGTAGTTCCTTCTGATGACCTGAAGCAGTAGGAACAGCCAGCCAGAGGCTGGTGCACTTCAGTGTACCATCACACCTCACAGCATCCACTCCTGCCCTGACTCCCTCATGTGCCTCTGGATACCAGCACAGGACCAGGCTTCAGCCCTTCTCAGTGAAGAATCCCAGAACCTCTAGTTAAGTTTCAGTGAGACAATCAGATCACATGCCCCATCCAGTTGCAGGACACAGATCAGAGTCTCTCCCACAGGTTTCTGAACCTCTTTCAGGTTCATTAACTTTTGTTCCTCTACTGTACAGTTTGGTTCAGATTCAAGTGCTGTGCTAGCTTCTAAGTTCAGCTCTACTGCGAATGCCTCTATCAGTGCCTGGCAGTTCTTCACATTTCCAAGACAGCTCATCAAATTAATGCAGGCTGCTATGTCTCTTCCTTCCAGTTTGACATTACCCACAAACAGTAAAACTTCTCCTATTCAATTCTCTTGCTACTCTTCAAAGGCTGAAACAAGGGGGTAAAAAAGCCCCACCATAATGCAGTTGAAAGCCAGTAGGAAAGTTTATTTCTTGTGCTTTTTATTACCTTGCTGCCATTCCCTAGCCATAAGCTGGAAATGTTAAATTATTAAAAATACAATATTAATCAACCAATTGAGTTGCCAGTTCTAATTTTGGATAGAAAAATGGACAAAGCAATAATCAAAGACTTACCAAAAAAGCAGATGGCTGGAGAGCACTTCTGGCAGTCATGCTACTCACACATGGGACCACTTGAGTTTAACAAATTGGACAACAGAGAGAGTACTGAAATGGAAATTGGGGCTCTACTCCATTCAAATTCTTCAAAATGTTTGTTTTGGATTTGTACCTCTGCTGCAATTTACAACTCGAGATTAGATATAGCAAGAGTAATATTCTTGACTAGAAGAAAAACAGAGTGACTCAACCGTTTGCCAAATCACACAGATTGTGTCCCTGTATACAAATAATGACAATGTATAAATGGTTTCTTAAATAAAACCTGGTACTAAACATGTCTTTTACTAACACAGCAATAAAGTTCTACTAAAGTAGTTGGAGCAAGACACAAGACATTTTCCTGACTCAAACCGCAAATCTTTTCCAAGCAAGGCCCATATCTGCATGTAGACATGTCTAAGTGACACCAGCATGAAAAAGGAACCCACAGCAACTTGAGATTTCAGGGTTGTCTCCACAGAGCACAGAGACCTCCTATTGCAAGTCAGACTACACCTCAAAGCCCCTTGTTCTAAAAGCATGCCCTTCACTGCTAAGGAACTAAAGGGCAGTTGTTTCTGTTAGCCAGTTTTGAGACTGTAAGGCACAGTGCGGTACTTTCTACTCAATCAGGGAAGGAAAATATCACAAAACCAGTGTCAGTATTACCAATACAAAGGCACACAGGTATTAGGTGACACCAAAACAGGAAATAAAAATGACTCATTCCATCAGTCTTGCTGTAAGAAATCAGTTACCTAAGTGTTTGACAGGAAAAACATGGAGGCCTTTGTCAGGGAGATGCCAGTTGCAGCTTAAAGTAAATGGATAGCCAAATATGATGTCACCTACCCCAACCAAAAATTAAGATGAAAGTTCTGCTGGTCTCAGGGACCAGTCACTCACCAGGGAACCGGGGGTTTATATGCACGCCTTCCCGAAGACTCCAAAAATAACATTTTTCCATAGAGCAGAAATTCCTGTAGCCTTCACGCTTTTCCTTTCAGTCATGTTGCAATCCAAAGTGCCAGCCCTCTGTAATGAGGTCATCCGACAATGTAATTTGTAGAGTTTTATTCTGTCAAAATTGATCTTAGTATTTCTATAGCAACTAGATCAAAACAAAAGATGGAGCAGACCGAATAAGTCTCTCCCTGCCACCACCCAGATTTTTATATAAATATATATGTGTGTATATATAAAGCATTACACATATATAATGTTCATGATTCATCATTGAACAACGCTAGAAAAACAGCGCTGGAGAAATAGCAGCACAGAGGATAGCATTTAAAACAAGAAATGTTAGTAAATGCGTAAACTGACATCAATAAAACGTTAAAAACAAGCAATTGCTCAATTATCAAACACCTGGGAACAGAGGCTGTCTTTCCCATTAAATCTAGTCAGGAAAAGTTATTACCCATTTCTGGTTGGGATGGGTGGAAGTGAATACTTGTGCTTCTGACAGGACATGAATGCAGTATCTTTCTCCCCGGAGAAAATCACACTTTAAGCATGACTGTTAGGTTGTTAATGATTAAGAAGGCTTGACTGCATTTAGCTACCTAAGCTTAGCTTTGGAAGGGATGTTTGCAACAGATTTGCAAATGTCTGTCAATTTATTTTAGTGCCCCTGCAGGAGCTGAGCTGAGTCCAGCTGCTTGATTACAAAGCACCGGGGAAAACTCTGGATGTGGAACCCAATGCCATTTCCAATCAACTAACACGATTAATAGCACCACCACCCAGCCCCTTCCTTGTGAAACAAAGATTGATCCATTACAATGGTGGGATAAAAGACTGGATTTTTCTGCAGACCAATTTTCCTTAACATCAGAGTAGCTTCTGAACATTTCTTAGGAGATTTCAGTTAGGTTCTGAACACAGACTGTCAAACACACACTGTGTGCAGGTGGACACGTACACCTCATGTAAGCATTGAAAGCCCAGAACAGCCACACAGTTCCTAACTTGGGCTTTAAGGAGCAGATGAACCTCTCCTAACGCGTAACACGTACCTGTCTCCAGAAACCTGCGTAGTGTCACTTACAGCCTCTAGTCTAAAAACATGTGAGAGTTTCAGATAGATCCCTAAAGTGGTTGGGCAGGAATTTCTGAGAATGGCATGACAGGTAGGAAAAGGAAGATGGACTCACTGTATCGCTGCAGGTCCCACTGTGGTTCTGCTGCTGGCTGCCATCTGTGGAGGTCACCGCTGCATCAGCTATGGTGAGGGATTGTGGCTGGAAGGCAGCTTGTCTTCTAGGCCAAGTGCTACTGCTTGTTAAGAAAAGGAGAGAATGTGAAGTTAGAGAAATACTGTCATTTAAAAGAAACAAACACTCTCAAGAGCGGGATATTTCTTTGACCCCAAGCTCTCCTGCTGGAAGACAGAATTCCCCCATCGGTTTAAGAAGGGGGGTGTGATGGACAAAAAGTTCTTGGTGAATACAGGAATAAGATTCTGTGCACGGCTAATTTGAAGCACAGGAATGTTTCCACAGATTACTCACCCTCCTAAAATTAAACACACTCAAGCCTTTCACCTGAGTGAAGACCCTGACCCCGCAAAGCACTCTTCCACTTGATGGAAATTCCCTTGAGTAACAGCAGAGAAGAATTAAGTCCTGGCAGAAGCCAAACTATGTATTCATACTGAATTTGAAGATGCTTCTGAAACAACTTCTATCTATACATGGTCTTGTAGTACTGCCATTTCAAAGCTTATTATACAACTGACACAGATGTCGGCAGGTCTTATATACTACAAATTATAAAATACTATATAAATATGTTTATAAATGCACGCATAGAGCTGTTACCTTATTTTAACTTCAAAAAATCACTGATCTGCTGCTGCAGCAGGAGATGCAAAACACTGACTTAGGCAAGAATGCTTAAGAAGTATAAAATAAAAGAAGCTGTGAGTTTCTTCCTAATTATCACCAGTTTCTGACTGTCAGAGAAGATGTGCCTTTTCCATGTGAAACCCCTCATTACCCCTTCCTTCCAATAAAGGCAATCAACATTGAACTTAGAAGTTCCAGCCTGCATCCAGTTTACAGGCTTTACCATCCTGGCGCTTTGAAACGGCGTCTTGGAGAAGGCACATCAGAAAAAACTGGAGGAAATTGGAGCTAAAAAAGATTTTAAAATAAAACCAGTATTTATGTCTCCCAAATGGGAAGTTTGGAGCAGCGAGGGCAGGAAACGGTATTTAAGCTGATTACCCAAGCAAAGTCCTCTGCCTTTTCAGCAGTGCCGCGGTCCCTCAGTAAAACCATTTAAATTAATTGGGGTTTGGAGCAGGGGGAAGGGGGGGAGATGTCAAATTTTATCTGGCGTGTTAGTGACGGCCGGCTGGAGAGGGGCTTTCAGCCCCGGTAATTGGGCCTGTTTGCTCCCCCTCCACCACAGCTTTGACATGCAATGTTCTAATAACCCACAGCGCAGGTGGCCGCCAGTGTCAGCCCTGCCTGTCCCTTCCCCTCAGCACCCGCTCGGCTGAGCAGGCTGCTCTAGGCCCAGTGGCCATTAACCCCAATGCTCTTGGCGTGTCGCTTAGCAACCGATTAAGTAGCCGGGATCTTTAACATTTGTACCAGAAATTCACACAAATGGAAGTCTTTTGGGCCACGCTAGCCTCAGAGACATGGATCTTATTATGCGTTTTACCTAATTATCAAGCGAAGGCAAGCGGAGCGTGGTTTCCTTGGGCGATAATTCCATGGGTGTTTGCATCCCCATAAAAAATTACATCTTCTCATTCACACTTGCACATAACTGACTAGACAAATAATATTATCATAGTGGGAAGAGCCAAAATTAGAAAGGAAATACTGCAACGTTTAGATTTAATCTGGTGAGCATTAGATCATGATTCACTTTGACATAAAAGCTCAAGAGCACGTTTAACTGGGACAAAGCGCAGTGCGATGTTTTAAACAAGAAGGAAATAAGTCTGATGTTTCATGGGCTGCAGTATTTGCTGTTGAAATCCTAATAACTGCCTACACTCTGCACTTATGCTGTACCTAATGAATCGAGTTTAAGTTTCAGAAAGCTTCAACAAATTGGAAGATCTTATTTGCTTCTGACTTTCCAACAAAGAGCAGGTTTTCAACAGAACAGAACAGAAAACTGACAACAAAGCCCCCCTCAGCTTCCAATCACCACACTCCATTCATTTTTACCGTATTTCACAGCAGCATTTTTAAAATAAGCATATTTGGGGATAAAAGATGTTTTAAAAGAGGTAAGTATTCAAACATCATAAGCAAAACTGGCATTGTTGTTTTCCAGCATCCACAGTTAAATACCCCATAGTGGATACACAGCGATGCTTCTCCAAGTCTAGAACCTGCTCAAGCCTCAGGAAGTTTTGATTTACCAAATAAAACAGTGAATTCATTCTCCATATGAAACAGTGGCTGACTCAACACAAGTTTTGGAGGTGGCTTAACCCACTGTCTGTGCCTTCCTCAGTCCAAGGATACCAATAAATCTCCCATGTCCATGTTTCCAGCATAACCTGCATTTTTCCCTATGATTTACGTTCATCGAAACACATTTCCTTCATGCAGCAACTGGAATGAACAAATCTAGAAAGAAATCAGACCACAGAAACCAAGCTGCTAACTCTTTCTCACATATGCACATACAATGCCAGGTCCCAGAAGCTGCTGTGATTGTCTGGATATGGTCCTCTTACGAACCCAGCTGAGTGTGGCAGGGCTCTGTAAGCAACTGCAATTTCAAGGCAGATAAATGTTATGTAAACTCAAATTTTGCAGCTTTATCATTGTGTATCTTCCATGCCAAGTGGCTTCTTACATAGAAAGCAAATATCATGGAGTTTATTTCCAAAAAACCAAAAAACAAGTTTACAGTTCCGCTTGGCCTAAGGCTTGTTTATAAACACAGGAGCAGACCGGCCTTATTACAATGGGAATGGCAGAAAAAAAACCTATTTTCAAGCTGAATATGAGCCAACAGTGAGCTTTCAGCAAGTAAGGCAAAGTGGGCTTTTTCTGAAGCATGGCCCTGGCTTCATTGGTCTGATGAAGAGATGCTGATTTACTAATAGCAGCCTGCAAGGAAGTAGCCTACACTGAATCCCCTTACTTGAAGTGAAATTATAATGGCAACAGAGCCAAACTTCTCACTTGACACAGATGACAGAACAGGGGCAGTATCAAAAATGGTGTCTTGGCAAGTTCAGCTTGGAGATTAGGAAGAACATTTTCAGAAGAAAGGTGGGGCAGCCCTAGAACAGGTCACCGGAGAGGCAGAGGATCTCAGTTCTTCAAGGTGTTTCATGCTAAACATGCACCTTTTGACATTTGCGTTTTCAGTGACAAAGTACCATGTTAAGAAATTCTTGATCAGGTATTGGAGGAACCACTCAACTCCTCAGTCAAATTCATAAAAGGACCTGGTCTTTCTTCTTTAAATACCCAAATGCCTTTAAAAGTCTTATCATAAGCTGCCTAATAACTGCAGCTCCATGCTCTGTACCCCCAGAATACAGAACCATCTGGGGGTTCCATTCATATGCAAACCCTTGCACTTTATCCCAGTGGACTATTCTCTATGAATACAGACTTATTTGGAGTAAAAGTGCAGGATCTGGCCATAGAACTTGCCTCACAAGAGCAAACTCCACATATTTGAAAAGATTATCAGTCAACTACAGTGCTTTCTACTGGAGAAACAGTTAAGAAACAGTTACTCAGTTAAGATAAACAAAGAAATTCCCATGCACTGAAAAGGAAAACCTATTAACTGATTAAACATGTGAATCAGTTGATAAACTGGTTATCAAAGTTCTGAAAACATTTTTAACAATGACCCTTCCTGCCATTTTTAACAATGACCCATAAAAGCTAGAATAATTCAGTGCTTTACAGGAAACCAGCTGGAGAGAAAACAGAACATATTTCTGATCTAAGAAGCTGCAGCTCTGCCCCGTGAGCTGACATATTTAGACACCAATTATCAGTGAATTAGTGATAAACATTTTTAATACCAATTAAAATGAGTTTGGATGAGTTTTTGCAAAGGTTTCTAGCTGTTTTCAGCACACAAAAAGATTACCAGTCTTACCCCATCTGCTGTTACTTCTAATTCATTCCTTGATGGTCAAGAGAGAATTCTGGTGCCAGATTAAGGGGTTCTGCTTAAGCAACATCATTACAATTGCTCAGCTGCAAAGCATGGACAGAACCTCCTGTGTTTAAAGAAAATGCAGCCATGAACTTCAGGTGGAGATTTATATTTTCCCCAAATTCAGATAAATATTCAGTTCTGAGGCACTTTTCAGACTATTCTATACAAATGCTTGACATCTATTCCCCTTCCTCATATCCTTTGCATTAGCCCTGTAAAACAGCTGTTAACCAAAATACATCCCAATCCTGAACTCCCCTTCTGCATGGCTTCATGGCAAGTACAATGTCTACAGCTCTCTTTTTCATTTCATTATCACAAAAGTCAGTCTAGCTAAAAAGCAATATCACAAGTCAGAGAAATCCCAGAACACAAGAGGTTTCCACCAGGGTCTTGTAGACTGTTCTAATAGCTAGCCAAGATTTTGACATAAAACTTTTCCATCAACTAAGGGCTTTTAAGAAGTCCTAGAAAAAGATTCAAGCTTTCTTCCAATTACTGCAGAGCACTGGAAGTAAGTTAAAAAGGTCAGTATTTAAACATTTGGCTTTACAATGATCTTAAAACAATCCAGTCTTTGTACAAAAAACCCTCTCTCAGCCTTCTCATAAGCTGAAATAATAAGGCAGAGAGAATTAAAAGCCAGAGTTAAAAGCCAGTATTCTATTTTCGTTCCAGAAACACAACATTTAAAAGTAATCAAACAAGGCATTTGTTAACAGAAGAGCATAAATAAGATGAAAATGACCAGAGGTTTCAAATTTTGACGTCTGCTACCATTTCTGGGAACTTCATATCACAAAAGCATGGCTTGCTCATGGTATAGAAAGACCCTATTTCCTTGGCTGCAGCCTGATCTCAGTACTGATGCCTGTGCTTTTGGAAGAGGAAGAAAACAAGAAGTTCAGAGGGTTCTTCTTAACAGATTTACATGTATTCTAAGGCTATGATGGATTTGGAATACAGCTGAGACCCACGCAGACCCTGGGTTTGGAGAGAGGCAACGCACTCAGCACCTCTGTAAAGAGCTCTTCAAGTCACAAATCTAAAAGGAGATGAATACACACAGGGTTTGATACTTTCAGTTCTGTAATTTGCAAAAGAAGTAGAAA